CTTCCACAGAGCAAAACCTGGTCCATGGGTGTAGACATGTGTAAACATACCTGCCCTTCTAAGGTATATTGGAAACCAGAGATGATACGCATCCACATGGAACCTAACTAATGACCTAAGAAGTGAATTATTCTCTTTGTGGTCACAACCTATTCAACAACTACTTCTGAGTCAGTGACAAGAATTAGAACGTAGGTCATTATCTTTTTCCCTCGTGATTTCTCAGAGGCTAAGGTTATTCAGAGCAAGGACGAAATGGAGCTCCTTAGGAAGATCCATTTAACTCTTTAAAACGTGGAATCAACATCCTTTTGAACCCATATTATTCCACAGATTCTTTAACAAGAGTTTAAATCGGTGACTGTAGTTTTATCGTTACTGGATCAGCTTGGATTTATATGTAATTTCCACAAAGCAAATATATAAAAGGTGATATTAGCCCCAGAGAAAGAATTAACATAAATAATTTGGATGCCTCTTAGTTCTCTTTAAATTTAAACCAGGAAAATAAATCAGGTGTCGGGTAAAGAGTTCCTTCAAGCTGGCTGCTGAGGAGAATCAAAATCTCTCCCATCAAATAAGTGGGCTAACTAGAGAGGTGTATGAATATATTATGCCAGATCACATCAACTCTTGTCTTGATAAGGTTTCATATAATGAGGAGAAACTAGGGCAGTGGTGGCAAACCTTTTAGAGACTGAGTGCCCAAACTGCAACCCAAAACCCACTTATGCATCGTCGGGTGCCGGGTGGGTGTGGCCCATTGGCTGGGTGTGGCCCATTGGGTGGGCATGGCTGCGGTGGTCATGGCAGACTGGGTGGGACTAAAAAGTTCAATCAATCAATTCCAACTTTGCAAGATCTTTTTTTCCCGCAAGAAGTTGAAATTGACTGATTGATTGAATCTTTTTTTTTTTTGTACACGGTGGCGGACGCCTAAAGCGAAAAGGTTTTATGAAACCCAGCTGAAGGCCTAGGACTGGGGCGACTGCACGCATGCCCACAGAGAGGGCTCTAAGTGCCGCCTCTGGCACCCGTGCCATAGGTTCGCCACCACTGAACTAGGGAGACAATGAGTTCTAGTTCTACCTTAGGCATAAAAGCCAGCTAGATGACTTTAGACCAGTCACTTTCTCTCAGCCCAACCCCCCTCATAGGGTTGTTGAGAAAATGTTAAAAATAAATAATGTTGCATAAAGTTACATTAATCTTCCCCCATCCTACTAATTTCTTGAAATGTCAGCATTTTATACTATACCCCCATTATCTCTACCCTAATACTGATAGGCAGTGTTTCTCAACCTTGGCTGAACATAGGTGGACTTCAACTCCCAGAATTCCCTAGCCAGCTGGGGAATTTTGGAAATTGAAGTCCACCCATCTTCAAGTTGCTGAAGTTGAGAAACACTGCTGATGGGAATTAATAGGCCAACACATTTGGAGGGTCTCAGAAGAAAACATGCTTAAATCATGCCTATATATCCAAGCCTTTTAATTCTATTATATGCTTCTCATTGTAGGGGTGGAAAAATTCTTACAATAATAACACAAACTTTAAACAGGAAGTATTTCCAAATGCCATCAGAAAGATAGTGAGCTCTATGTAATCTGTTGCAATGAAAATAGCTGTCTGTCAATGTTTCTGCTTAATTATATAGAGTAAGACAGGGAATTTTGGAAGAAACAAAAATAAGCTGAAGGACATGGGAATGAGTTACTTTAAGGAGTTTGTGTGATGGTACACAAAGAAAAAGAGTCATGAATGAGTATGGGCCGTGTATGAAATGGGATGACCAGGTTACACAAAAGAAGTAAGCTCGGGTTTGATTAAACAGAGAATGAAGGCGGATCAAGGTACAAAAACATTCTATGAAGCAAAAATAAAGTAGGTTAAGAGTCAGGGAATGACAAAGTAAATTAGGATTAGGTAGAGATGATGAAACTCTGAAAAAGAAAGGTAAATCTTAAGAACCAAAGGCAACATATGAATTGGTATACGTGGCATGGTAGAAGTCTGAATTTTATTTATTTGAAGATTTGTAAGACCACCCAACTTAAACTGTGTGACTCCATGTGGTGTACAGCATAAACACACAATAATGGTGATAATAACAAAAAATAAAAACTAACAGCAGTAATCAATATATAAATAAAAAGGCTAAAATGTTTGCAAGGACAGAAAAGTGTAGAGAGAGATAGTAAATGATGCTGTCTTAAATTAAATTTAACTGTATTTCTTTTATTTTCCCTTATGTCATCAATACTTTGGCTTGCTATTTATTATTCCTTTTCCTTACTTGCCATAATGAAATCGAATATAGTGTGATTGGTATATATTTAGATATGGATGGATGGAGATTTGCCCAAATTAATTGTTCTTTTCCCTTCTTCCTTTCAGTAGTTATAATTTTCCCTAATCACAAGCCTTCCATCCAATATGGAGAATTCTGTAAATTGTAGTCTAAGGTTATCTGTAAAGCCTCCAAGCTAGGTATTACAGATCCCAATCTTGACGATTTGTCATCCAAATTTAGGCCTAATATTATGGTACTGGCGGAAGTCTATCTCGCGTCAGGGGTTATCTAATAAAACATGTAATAGTACGCTTATATTTTTTTTCCACCTCAGTTATTTTAAGATGGTTCCTTAGACTGTTTGTGGCAGGCGTTGGCTTAGGTTATTTTTAACGTTGATGACTGAAGCACCCTTGGTATGTCAGCTCGCATTCCTGTTGCATGAAAAAGTTCAGATTCAGCACAAGTCATTTCTGTGGCTCTGATTTGGGCCCTTTTACACCGATTGTTTCTTCCAGATACTTTTTTTTTTATAGCTGTGTCCATATGAGGACAAAACTGGCAAAAGGTGGGAAATATCTTTCTTCTTATATCTAGTTGCCATTATTTATTTCTTAGCTACAGATGGTCCTCGTTTGTTTAGTGACTGTTCAAATAAATGGCACTGAAAAAAGTGACTTATGACCAGTTTTCACAGTTACAACTTACAACCATTGCAGCATCCCCACAGTCATGTGATCAAAATTTGGTGCTCTTGGCAACTGGCATGTATTTATGACATTTGCATTGTCCTGGTGTCATGTGGTCATCACTTGCAACCTTCCCAGCCAACTTCCAACCAATGAAGCAAATGGAGGAAGCCAGATTTGCTTAATGACTGCATGATTCACTTAACAACTGCAGTGATTTCGCTGAATTAGCTGTGCCCAAAAATAAATGGGGCAAAAATCACTTAACAACTGCCTTGCTCGGTTCAATTGTGGTCATAAACTGGACTATCTAATATATCTTCATCTCATCAATTTGCTCTAGGGCACGGGTGTCAAACTCGCCGCGTCACGTGATGCGCCGCGATGTGTCGTGACTTTTTTTGCATTGCTGGAGCTGGGCGTGGTCTCCACATGATGCAACTGGCCCGTGGACTGGCAGTTTGACACCCCTGTTCTAAGGGCAGTTCATAGGTAGAGTCAACATACAAGCTGATCAAAAACTGACCTACCAAACATTTAAAACCAGTTTTTTTTTAAAAAAAGAAAAATCCAAGCTTAAAAGCTTTGAGAACATCACATAATTCAGGGGTGTTGAACTGCCGGGCCACAGGCCAGATGTGTCATGGTGAAACTGTGCCCACCCCGTTGCTGGCAATGGCAAAAAAGTCGTAATACGTCCCGACACATCACTTGACATTGCGAGTTTGACACCCTGACATAATTTAACAATGTGGATACTGTCTCAAGCAGCCTCTCTTCAACCGGCAAACCTGAATATACTAAATTAGTGTTTACACCAATTTTAGTACAGCCTTAGAAATAAATTGGCAGATGTGATTCACTTTTGGAACGTGGCGGGATAGGGAGAACTATTGCTCTGATAACAACCTGGAGAAAATCCCAGTTTCGGTCATCAACATCTCCATGTAGGCTGGGAAAAGAATCTTATGCCCTGGAAGGATGCTTATGTAAGCACCATTTCTCAATTGCTGCTACTTCCCGATTTGTGGTCTTCAATTCTTAGAAATCTCCAGCCAGCAGAGTTACTGCCGAGAACATCAAGAGTTGACGTTTGCAAATCTGGAAGTCACTAAGGTTGGTGTAGATGGTGCTACTACATGAATCAGCAATCTCACACTGGGATCTGGTTTTTGCACATCATGCCAGCCATAAGCAGCCTTGATTGGTTTGTTTTTGGTTCAGAGTGCTACAAAAACTCACTGGGCTTTTTAACTGCTGTGGTTTAACATGCTGCTTAAGTCCAGGCAAAAGATATTTTCTTCTAATAATCATGGTTTGGGAGGATCTATGAATGAATTTTTATATAGAAAGCTGGTTGTTGTCTAGGATTAAGATTAAGAACAGGAAAAACAAAATATTTTGGTCGCACCGTATGTGGATAAATAACCAATTAGCATATTAGACATCAAGTGGGTGGTGTAGAAGGGGAGGGGTTAGATTTGATAAAAGAAGGCGAGAGGTTGTGAAAATTTCCACATGTGAAACTTGAGCAAGAACACTAATAACTGGCAATATTTACATATCTTCTTGCGTCCATCTGCATGTATTCTTATTTAATATTTGGAGTTCCATTGACCCTCCTAGCAGAATCACATCTGCCATCATCCTTAGGAGGGCTTCATGTTACCAATTGCTAACTGATGTGATAACCTACAAAAGCTTTTAATGACTACTACAACTTTTATAGAATGGAAAAGCTGGGAAATAGCTTTTTAAAGATTGAGCTACCAGGGTTCTGAAGAATAAGCTATCAATTATTCTTATCTGTAACAGTTTATAACAGGTGATAGAGACTATAAGCAGGATACTCTGCTCATATCATGCTTGTGGGTTTTCCAAAACCATCCTTATTAACTAGAAAAAATAACAATCAGTTAAGTTTCTACTTTGATGCCAAATGGCTTTTCTTATAATTCGTTATTTGTTATTATAAATATCAAGAAAACAAGGAAGCACATTCTTTTAAAAAATATATAATTATTACAAATTCAATAATCAGTTATGATACATTCAAGACATAACCAGGGATTTCAAAGGAATAATTTTATATAAATTAATACATCTCTCTCCAAAATATTTTTCTTCAACTAACAATGTATAGAAGCTACTAGAGACTTTGCAAATACACAAGCAAGCAAACCAACTCCAGGTTAAAAAAAGTAGCTGAAATATATAAAATGTAAATTGTCAAATTTTGGATCCAGATTTTTGCCCTCTGACTGATACCTATGAAAAAGCTTAGCCATGAAATCAGACTACAGAGGTGAAGAAATCGGACTGATATTTTCAACTGTATGTTTAGCAATAGTTTTTTCCCTAATAATCTTCAAGCTGCTCCTCTGATAAAACAGCCAACTCCAAGTCCCAGTTCCATTATAAGCAAAGTTGGCTGGGAATCTTGGGGCTTGTGATCCAAAAGATTCAGAAGGCTACCACATAGGATGGAGCCCTTGTAACACTTGGCCATTTCAACAGCAACTAAGGCCTGTGAAATGGAACTGCAATATAGAACTTAACATTGTATTTAAAAGCAATTATTTCTCACATATACTCATCACAATAGCCACGTTTCATGACTTTCCAAATCAAAGGAGGTAGTAGTAGTAGTAGCAACCTAGGATTGTATTTATTTAGAAAACAAAATCCTTGATATTTTCTCTCATGTTACCCCTTCATATACTCAATACATTCTTATCTCATCCAGAATGTTTTGGCCTGGACTCAATCTTACTGCACTATATCCCCAGAGTCACTAGTTTGAAATTGCTTCAAACTTATGAACAATGAGGTCCCAGTTCACGCAACGCTTTAAAATACCAACAGAAGAGCAAAAGCAACATTCTTCCTCCTTTAGAGATGGAAAACCCCAACCAGAGTTCCCCCAGAATCCTCAACTTCTATGTGCACATCAATTGTTATTTTTATGTGGAAGAGGCTTTTCATTCCTAACCCTGGAGTCCCAACTTCTCTTTTCTGGTGGAACCGGAACAGAGGGGAATGCTGTCAGTGGCTTCTTCCAGAAGAGACATGGAAACCCCATAGATCCTCTTCCAAACTTTGTGCCGATGATCCACTGCCAGGCAAGGCTCCAAGATGGCTGCCATTTGAGAGATTCTTCGTTGGAAGCGGCAGCGATCACGAGCCATTTCCTCCCATGGGCCCCGACGGGCAGCCCGAGAGGCATAATCCCAGACCACCAGTGAGTGGACAGTGACCACTGGGGAGAATCGGACCTAAGAATGGAAGAAAGAAGATGTGAGCTAACGAGGCTGATATTTCTGGACAGGTGCTTGTTGCTGTAAATCAAGTACGCAATTATATTATACCACACACTCTTTGTGTGTATTTGATTTTTATTTAGCCTTTATTACTTTATAAGTGCTCAAGTCAGGAAGCATAAATTTCCTCTTATTTTCCCCACATCGATAACCCAGTGAGGTGAGCTGGGCTGAGAGAGTGACTGGCCCAAAGTCAGCCAGCCAGCTTTCATGTCTACGGCGGAACTAGAACTCACTGTCTCCTGGTTTCTAGCCAAGTACCTTAACCACTGTGCCAAACTGGCTCTAAATCTAATTTAGGTCTACACCAATGTACTACTTCTTCTGTGTCTAGGTCAAACTTTAAACTGCCAGTATGAAGCCACCTTCCTGGCTTTGTCATTGGCCAAAAATAATTCACTATTGTTACATGTTTCTGGTAGTATCCAACATACCAGTAGATGGGCCGGACTCTGCATCTCTCCATATTCGCGCAGTGTGTTGTTATCTGCTAAGAGCATCCATTTGGTTTTACACTTGGGCACTCCCAGCTCTCAACCTATTCAGGGTCCTCCAAGTAGTATAAGGGAGGGTGGATCCTTCAGCCATATCCTCTTTTAATGTTATTCCTTGCATGATGGTCTCCTTCCTCCATCTTTTAATTCAATTTTGTTCTTTATAGTTATGTACTGTAGTTGGACTGAGACGTGTGGAAACTCAAGTTCCAAACAACCTTTAACAGCCAAATTCACTAGGTGACTTTAGGCCAATCATTTCTCATCCCAACTATTTCACAAGGCTGTTAGGTGGATACAATGAACACAAAAGCATTTTGTTCCCCTAGCTCCTTTACAGGAAAAGAAGGGAATACATTTGTTCATCTGACTCATTTTAGGCGGTTTCCCAACAGTTCCAACACTGTTTCTTCTCAGTGGTAAAGTCCTTTTCATTTCATTTTATCCTTGCTATAATCTGAGATTAGAGCTATATCCCATTTTTCTTCCTGGAGCAGTGCAAATTAAATAATTTCACTCTCACAATAGATCCATGAAGTCTAGTGAGCTAAAAGGTAGTCACTGGCCTTCAACACCCAGGAAGCCCCATGGGCTATAACCACCATAATCCATGATCAACGCTCAAGCTAATCCCTTGTCATGGTGGCATCTAAGTGCGGTTGACTGTCTTTTAAATTTTTCCCTTAAGAAAAGAGATGCTATTTTTCACCCCCAATCTCCACCTTCCAAAAATGATTTTAAAACAGAGGCCCAGTCTAAGTTCAAATAAAATTGTCTGCCTTGTGGGTTTGCTGTTTTTCAGTTCTTCTCCAGCGGTTTGTGCATTTAGGGTGGTTAAACAAGGACAGAATTTGCATCTGTCTGTGGACTTGGCACATTAGTGCGGAAGTCCTAGTAAGGCAAAAAGGAAGTAGAAAACAGAAAGCCAGGAACCTTCATTTTTAATTTACAATAGGCAATCTCTTAAAAGGAGGCGGGGAAATGACTCTGCTAGACTGGGAAATGTCCGAATCTTACATCATTATTTCCTTTGGACGAGTCCTGTGATTCATAGTCAGGCACAATTTAAAAAAAACAAAACCATGACCTCCATTTCTTCTTAATTCAGGCACTAATCTGGTAACTGTAAATTAAGCATGTCACATCACATAAATCTTTTTCCCATTTGCTTTTCCACAGAGGTCTGTTCAATTGGAGCTCAACTGCCTGAAATTACTGAATAGGAAAGGCATTTTGTGAATGATAAACACTTCACCTTTGCTCCCTCAGGCATTCAGCCTTTTGTTCTTCAACATGTTCTTTGAAGAACATCCTCCAAAGGCCTAATCCTAACACCTCTTCAATAAAAGACTATCTTTTCCTCTACTACCGGTATTTATGCCTCTGGCAGATAAAATACACAACACTTTAATGACTACTCTGTACAGGTAATCCTCGACTTACAACAGTTTAATTAGTGGCCATTCAAAGTTACCACTGAAAAAAACTGACTTATGACTGTTTTTCACACTTGTGACCGTTACAGCATCCCCATGGTCACCTAATTAAAATTCAGATGCCTGGCAACTGATTCATATTTATGACCGTTGTTGTGTCCCAAGGTCATGTGATCACCTTTTGCGACCTTGTGACAAGCAAAGTCAATGCAGAAGCCAAATTTGCTTAACAACCATGTTACTAACTTAAGTGCAGTGATTCACTTAACAAATGTGGCCAGAAAAGTCATAAAATGGAGCAAAATTCAGTTCACAAATGTCTCGCTTAGCAATGGAAATTTTGGGCTCAATTGTGCTTGTAAGTCGAGAACTATCTGTAGTTATTTTCCAATAAAATGGACCATATAGCCTAGAGCAGCGGTTCCCAACCTCTTGGGCAACAGGGACCACTTCTGTGGAGAAAGGTTTTTCCACGGACCGGAGAGTGCGTGGTTTTGTGTGCTGCCTGCATCCCATGAATGGGGCTTTGCTTGTTTGTATGGACTGGTTGCTGGCATGCTGCAGTCTGGTACTGGTCCATGGACTGGGGGTTGGGGTCCCCTGACCTAGGGCCTGGCTACTTGAGGGACTGTCTGTCACCTATAGTATCTGCCCGGCTGATCTGACCTGGCAGGGTTGGGATGCTCCAGGTTTCTCCAGTTAAACAACGTTGTCTATCAAGACCCCAGTACCTGCTCTCTGCAATGAGGTTTTTCCCAAGATCCAATTGGCCCCCACCCTACTGGTGTTTTGAAGGGGCCCAAAAACTTAACTTTTTACCCATGCCTTTGGCAACTAGGATTGAAGCCCCCTTTTCTTCTTTGTTACCATCTGGGTTAGTTATTTTTGGTATTTTGGCTCTTTTTTGTTTTATGTTATTTTGTTTTGTTTTTCACATTTTGTAAACCATCCATGGTCAGCAGGAATCAGGCAGCATATTAACTAAAATAAATAAATGGAGCCAAAAAACCCATTTTTAACCTCTGCAAGAAATTCAACTGATGCAATTTTTTAGACTACAGTACTACTACAAAAACAACAACTCAACAGCATCATGTATCATTTCTTCTCTTCATCACCATGGTGAAAATAGTTTAAAAAAAACCACAAACATTTCCTCAAACATAATCATGTGGGCAAGTCTTAAATTTCAATCTGTCACAACCAAGAGCAGAAATACAAGTGTTTGTGGCTCCTAATTAAGGAGCCATAAAAAAACAAAACAAAGGTGGATTTTGAAAATCCTCATTCCAATCACATTCAAAGAGCATACATAAATATTTTAGGACACTCACCTTCTTTTTCACCTGGATTTCCTGCTGTGAAACTAGAGGTATTTCTGCTGCGACAGGAGAAGCATTTTTCCCAGGACTTGGTTGGCAGCATAGGTAGGTCTCCTGATTATTATCAACTTTTTGGTCCTCTCTGGGCAACGGCTGCTTTGGGAGATGACACGATTCTTCAAGTTTAGAACTGGCTCTTGTCCGATAAGAAGGGACGAGAGTTTCTCGATGGTTCTTGGGCTTCAGTGTATCAGTGGTGAGGTCTGTGTGGGCCTGAATGGGTTTGGAAAAACAAAGTGGGTGGAAGGGTTGACTGTTCATGGACAGAGCTCCACCAAGATTCTCAAAAACAATCTGCTGTGCAGAGTCCTCCACTTCTATTTCCTGATAGTTCTCTAAGTCTCCTGAATTATTGCCATCAGAACAAGTTTTGGTCTTACTACTCTCTTCCATCTCATCTTCACTCCACCAGTCTTCTGAACTGTCATCATTGTCATCTTCTTCATCTTCTAATGGACTGTAGAATAAGGAGAGGACCAGGGAACTTTGGAAGCTACTGGGGATGATAGAGGAGTCCATGTTGCATGTATCTTCATTCTCTCTACTCTTTTGGCTCATTTCTGGCTGTTCCACATCCTCTGAAGAATCAAGTGAACATGTTAAGCTTTGTTTCCCACATAATGGCAGATCCCGATTAGATTTCATGTTCTTCTCTGATTCCTGGGGAACTCTGGTGATTTCCAAAATTTGATCAAGGCCCTTATTAAAATTTAATTGTCCATTAGGATTGAAACAGTCCAAAGTATTTTCCAAATATCCACAGAGGTCCAACTCTTTTGTAAAGATTTCAGGATGGTAAGTATCTTCCAACAACTTAGGGGAGACATGCTCAGAACTTTTTATAGTCACACATTCTATGTCCTTTCCTGAAGAACCTTGCCAATTATTTCCCAAATCAAATATTATCGTAGGACTTATTAAACGCAGCTCGGAAATCCTTTCCTCTTCCAAATGCATGTTATTCACTGCAGGGCTGCTTGAATGAATCAAAAGTTGTTCAATGTCTTCCCCAAAGTAGCCATCTATAACCAAACTTTCCTCCGAAAGGTAGTTTGTATGACTCTTGAGAGGATGATATTCCAAACAGCTGCCTTCCGCTATCATCATCTTCTCAGTATCATTTTCATTGCTTTTAAGTTCTCCGGCCTTCTTTAAGCATTTCATCTTTTCTAAGATAGGCAATGCCCTTCTGGCAATGCCCATCAAGACAGTCTTCACCAGCTTTGCAGGGAAAGGCTGCCAAAAATATAAAAATCTTCGCAACCAAACCATAACGAACTCCATCATATGTCGAAGAACTGGAGATGTGCCAGCAGGGGTGGAGCTCACTGGTTCAGGAGTTAGAATTTTTGCCATTCCAGGTCCAGAGGGATAACAACTCTTGAGGAGAATATTTTGGGGTTCAAAGGGTGGGGTAAACTGGCTGGCCACAATACAGGGAGGCATTTTAAATCTGAAAAGAAGCAATCAACACTGGAATTTAGAGTAAGCACATGTAAGCTAAAACTCAAGATTTTTTGTCCCAAAAGTGCTTTTTCAGGAGGCAACTGGACTTTCTTTTTCTTTAAAGATTTTTGCTTCTCATCCAAGAAGCTTCTTCAGCGCTGAAGAAGCTTCTTGGATGAGAAGCAAAACGTCTTCAAAGAAAAAACAAGAAAGTCCAGTTGCCTCCTGAAAAAGCACCTTTGGGACAACTATGACCTGGATGACTGAGAATCTCCCTAGACATCAAGATTCTTTGCTTTCTTGAGCTATAACAAACTACAAGTAGTTATTGACTTATGACTCTACCGAGCACAACATTTTTGTTGCTGAGCAAGACAATTAAGTGAGTTGTATCCCATTTTACAACTTTTTTTGGCACAGTTGTCAAGTGAGTCACTGCAGTGGCTGTTAAGCAAATACGGCTTCCCCCATTGATTTTGCTTGTCAGGAGCCAGATGACATGACCCCAGGGACAACGCAACTATCAGAAATACATGCCAGTTGCCAAGCACCCAAATTCTGATCATGTGACATGGGGATGCTGCAACGGTCATAAGGGTGAAAACCAGTTGTAATGGTTCCAATAGATGAAACCAGTAAAAACAGAACTCCAAGGCAAAAGGTTTCCTTAAAGAACATATTTATTGGCTACAAAGTATCGGCAGGATCAAATGTGAAACCAAGACTGGAGTTCCCTCCCAAAGGTTACAAAGTTAAACCCCAGTAATATGTCATAAATATGTCATAAATCACATTCCCCAATAAACTACTTTGGCGGAAAGCTCAGCCCGCCAAAACCTCAGCAACAATGACCTTGGTTCCCACAGGACAATTTATTGCTATGTCTACCCTTAAAAGCACACAATCCCCCCTCCCAACTGTGGCAACCAAAAACAAAGCTGCAGCGTTGACACCAGTCCTAAGTCACTTTTTTCAGTACCGTTGTAATTTCAAATGGTCACTAAACTGTTTGGCTGAGGATTACTTGTATTTTTTATGAGGTTAGATCTATACATCAAGTCTAGCACTATCTGTCCTTTGTTTCATACAGAGCTCTTTCCCATCATCTGCTATCTGAACCTATTTTTTAACAACATAGATGTTTAGGACTGAACACTACTACTGTTACAGACCAGTCAGTAAAAAATGGTTTTTGACATGTTTTCTAAGGTGACGGTTTATGTGAATGTAGTAAGTGAACGTGTTCATGTTGTAATTGAAAATCAAGCCACAGGTAGTCCTCACCTTATGACCATTTAATGATAGGCTTGGCAAAAGTGACTCACAATCTGTACTCATATCTATGACTGTCACACCACCCCTGTAGTCATGTGACTGCAATTATGGACCTTAGCAACCAAGTCACATTTACAACCTGTTGCATGCAGCATGCTGTGGCCAGGTGATTGCAATTTGTGACCTTTTTGCCAATCTCTGGCAAAAAATGCCTGTTGGCATGTAATGACTATATGATTCACTTAACAAAAGTCATAAAAAGTCATAAAATTGCATATGATTTAACTTACCACAGAAATTCTGGTCTCAGTTGTGGTCATGAATTGAGGATTATCTCTATTTTATTCTAGATATTCTGGTCTATAACTCTCAGCACCCTTCAATCCAAGATTTCTGGGCACTGGTGTTCAAGAATGTCTGAAAGACCACAGGTTTCCCATAAACTTTCCTAAGCTAGTCTGGTTAAAACATCTTAACTTAGTTCAGAAAAATAACTGGCATTCCGGCACATTTTAATATCTTTTTAGACAAAAATGCATGATACTTTTTTATCTGCAAGAATATTTTTTATTTATTCAGAAGGAAAACAAAGGCATGTCTTATTCCTGGTATCAGACCTCAAAGCCGAAATAACAGAGTTGGAAGAGACCTTGGAGGTCTAATCCAACTCAGGAAGGAAACCCTATACCCTTTCAGACAAATGGTTGTCCAATCTCTTCTTTAAAACCTCCAGTGTAGATTGAAAGAAAACAAGTTCTGGCATTTGGAAAATCACAACTCCAGCATTCTTTGGAAAATCAAAGTGGAGCAAATTTCCTTCCAGGGCATCCTGTTTTTTTGCTAATCCAATTTTTTTTCAACAAAGGCAGAATAAGTTTTCAGAAACAAGAGCTGGCAAGTGGAGGAATGGGGAAGGGAAGAGGCTGAAGACCACATACTTAGGTGCCTCACTCCCAAATTCCAACACAATTCCTTCTGCCCCCTACCTGTAGTGCAGTTTACCTCCCAGCTTTCTTAGGGAAGGTTTCACTGGTTGAGGTGTGTAGGCTGAATTCAGGGCGCGCCCCAAACAAGTTGAAGCAAGTGCCCCTGAAATGCTGGCAACACCCCAGTCAGGAAGAAGGAGGGGGGGGCGTGTGAGCATACATACACACACACACAAAGAGTTCGGATGCTGATTGTGCAGCTGCTGGGGAGAGAGGAGGAGAGACAACCCTTCTGACCCACAACAGGTTAGATCTGGAAATGGGGGGAGGAGGGGAGAAAGGGAAGGGAATATATTCAATGTATGAGAAATGACAGGCATTTAAAAAAAAAAGCAGAAGGGATTGCAAATGATTGCAGACAAATACTTTTTGACAGCTGATTTCAATGATCAGAAGTTATCAGTACAAACAGCTTGGATTCTCTAGGACAAGAAGTGAGAAGATCCTAATGGAATATAGAGGAATATTATGGAAAGAGGGAAAGGAATTGTAAAGTGGCTTTTCCTGAGGGTATTTGGTTCTTTCTGAAAGAGGAGAGTTAAGGAGGATTCAATGAGAGTTTCCTAACAAGCATTTGGTGGACAGCAAGCAGTAGCACTGGAAGGCAAGGGGGTGGGTGGACTGGTGAAATTGGAAACTGAGACAGGAAGAGGAGATTAACTACTTTGGAGGGGGGAGGGAGACAGAGAAAGGGGAGGGAAGGGAGAAAGAGACTCAAAAGAGTCCATAAAGATCCCTACTCTATAGCAAAAAACTTGGAATATTCTTTGGATGAAGGACCTCAACTAACCCTTCTGGAGGGCACCAGGTTGGAGAAAGCCACCCTAGACTTTGGCGAAGCACAGAAAAGACTTGAAAAAAATTCACCTAGCATGAAAAGAGGGAGCCACAAATTAGAGAAGCGAATTATATACCAATGATATTTTGAAGGATCAGAGCAAAAATAACAGCATGTTACAGCTGGGAGGGGGGGGGGGCGCGGCGGGAGGCAAAGACCAAGAACATCGAAAGCTATTCCCAAAGGCTTTGGGGTTGGGGCCCAGAACCGAGGGAAGGCGACCCCACCACGCTTGTGCCAACGGAGGAAAAACAGTTCTGAGAACCGCACGAAGCAAAGAGGGAGGATTCCCAACAATTAAAAAGGGCGGATCGTTTGGGTGGAGGCCTGGGAAGACAACCGAGAGGGCGGAGGTGGCAGGCTAGCATAATGCCAAGCCGGGACACCTGGCCCGAGATCGGAGAACCAGGGCTTCTCTGAAAACAGGCGTTGCCGCTGGGGAGTGCTTTAAGCATGTGGGAAACAGAAACACGGGGTGGGGAGGCGGAGAGTCGCCTTGGAAACGTGCATTTGCCGGGAATGAGCAGGAGGAGATCGAGCGGCTGAGCGGACCGCCTAATAGGCCAAGGGGTCCAGGAGGCTAAGCGACAAATAAATTAAGGGCATCATTTTAGGAGGCTGCCCCCCCCCCCGCCCCCGGGGAAAAGCAACGTCTAATAAGGATTGAACCCTCTTACCTCTGGATTTTTAGCCAGTAATAAACTCGCTCCAGCATGTAACTGCGGGATAAATGTGAATAAGCAGCCGGACGGTAGGCTTTACAAAACAGCAGCTCTTCTCGGCACGAACCATTTCGCCCTATCGAGACTAACTTTTTTGCTTCTTCTTCGCCGATTAAAATAGGATATTTCAAAGCGAAGCAAAAGCCGCGGGCGCTTTATATAGACCTGTTCGCAGGGAACAGCGTCATCGCATTGTGACGTTGGCCGGGGCGTGGCCAGAGCCGGAGAGGGAAAGAGACGTGAGGGTTCTAGAAAGGGGGGGGGGGAGTGGAGGAAGTGGTGACGTCAGGGGAATGTCCTGTGGCGAGAAAGGGGGGGTGAGATGGAAGCTTACTGGGGATTTTCAAGGGTCCTTGGTGTTCTCTGCTAGTTTCTCCAATTGCTAGTTTCAATTGGGAAAATGTAACAATCCTAGATCAGGCCAAGTCCAAAACTGTCAGGGAATTTCTAGAAGCCTGCCACTCTGACAAAACAGCCATTAATAGACGCATAGAGTTAACAACATCTATAGCAGGGGTGTCAAACTCAATTTCATTTGAGGGCCGCATCAACATTGCAGTTGCCCTTGGGGGGGGTAGGGGGGGCCTACTGGGTGGGTGTGGATGGAGTGGGTGTGGCCTATTGGGTGGGCATGGACAGCTCTACATCTTTTCAAGGGGGCCTGTGGGGGCCTGGGCAGGAGTGGGACAGATCTGAAGGTCTCTGGCTAGGGTTGCCAGGTCTGCTTCCAAAAAATAGCGGACAAGCGGGGGGGGGGGGGTTAAGTAGTAAAAAAAGTAGACTGTACAGCTTTAGATTACGTACTATTTCATCATAAAGCTTTTGAATAAAAAAAATGTCCACTATTTTGTGAAAAAAAATAGTGAACATAATGTGAAAAAAGTGGACTGTCCACTCAAATAGTGGACACCTGGCAACCCTATCTCTGGCAGAAGGGGGTGGGACCGGGGCAAGTGCCAAGGCATGGTCCAATGGAGGAGCCTCACTGCCTGATGAAACCCCTTCGCCGGAGCCCATCAAGCCAAATATGTGAAGTAGGCGAGAGCCATTTGCTGGCCACTTCCAGGCGATGGTGCATTTCTTCATTCCTCACAAAGGGTGACACCTCCCCAGTATGCGCCTAGGGGCGGGGCCAACACGGCAGGGGCTGTTTCCTCGCTGTTTCCAGATGGCCTTGTGGAGCTAAGACTGAATGTGTTTCAGCATAGATGGCCACCACAAAATTGTACATTGGCTCCCGGCCGGCCTGGGCCAGGGCCAAGGCAGCGGGGGCCGTTCTCTCACTGTTTCCAGGATGGCTTCGCGGGCCACATGAAACCACTTCGCAGGCCGCATCCGGGCCCCGGGCCTTGTGTTTGACATGTCTGATCTATAGACTGTGCAAAAGAGACAATCAGCCAGCCCAAAAGTGGAACAAAAAGTGGAACAGTTTGCCTTCAAATATTGTGGGAGTTTCATCATTGGAAGCTTTCAAGAAGAGATTGGATTGGCATCTGTCAGAAATGGTGTAGGGTCTCCTGCTTGGGTGGGGGGTTGGACTAGATGACCTACAAGAGGGGTCCCCAACCTACGGGCTGTGGCCCACTACTAGGCCGTGGCCTACTGGCTACCGGGTCACGGGACAGGCTGGTCAGTGCGCACACTCATCCCCACTCACACTAGTACCCGTGGACCCATTTGCACATGCACGTGGGGCTAGCGCCTGTGCAAATGGGGCTGCTTGTGCATGCAGGGATTGTACAGCCAGTTTGCACATGCGCGTGGGTTGCTAGTGGCAGCAGGTAGTTCCTGTATGCCTGCACGAACGGGGATGCTAGCGCTGTGTGGGTGCACACGTCCCCATTTGCGCACGCAAGCACACAAATTTCCCAGCTGCTCCCTTTCCCTCTGGGCTGCCAGCATGAAAAGGTTGGTGTCCTCTGACCTACAAGATTCTTTCCAACTCTGTTATTCTGATTCTAATTCCGAAAAAGACCTAAGCACTTCTTCACTAGCAATCAGCACCCAGATCAGCATACTTTAACTCCAAGGTTGACTTCAGATCAACAATCAGGTAAACAATACCCCAATCAAGAAACTGCCAAAGAGCCAACAGTAAACAGTCCAACCAAATAATCCCCTCATTTCAACCCTGAGCTGCAAATATTCTCCGTTATTGAATATTTTCAGTTTTCATTCCTGCGAGTTTAAAATAGTTTCTTGGAAAAGCTCACTTTTAAAAAAAACCTCCCTGGTGATGAATAGAATAACCCACATAGAACTGGGTGTCTTGTTTGTGGAGGGAACAGCCGCAGTTTACAAGAGATTTTGGGGGATGAGAAATACAAAGCCTATTTTATCATCCGTGTGTGGATTTATTTACCAGCATTTTGTTCCGCCTTTTTTTAAAACAGTTCACCGTAGCTGCTACTGTATAGTTAGTCTTCAACTTACAACAGTTCATTTAGTGACCATTCAAAATTACAACAGCACTGAAAAAAAGGACTTATGACCATTTTTCACATTTACGACCGTTGCAGCATCCCTGTGGTCACATTAGCAAAATTGAGACGCTTGACAACTGACACACATTTATGATGGTTCCAGTATTGCAGGGTCGTATCATCACCTTTTGCAACCTTCTTACAAGCAAAGTCAAAGCCAGATGTGTTTAACAACCATGTTACTAACTTAACAACTGCAGTGATTCACTTAACAATTGTGGCAAGAAAGGTCATAAAATGGGGCAAAATTCACTTAACAAATGTTTTGCTTAGCAATAGAAATTTTGGGCTCAAATGTGGTCGAAAGTCGAGGACTACCTCTACTGTAATTCTCTCTTGCCTCCACATTTAATCAGGAGGCCACAGCAGGCATATGGACAACGGGCATTAATGGAAGAATGCAACTATCTCGCTGTTTCCTAACTTGATGTACCAAACTATGGTAGCAAAGGAAACAGTAAACAGGAAGCGAAAAGACTTTCAAATAGAAAGGATTATAGCTCAGTCTTCCTGCCTTTGATATTGTCACAGGTACTTTACATGGAAGAAAAAAAACTTAGTTCTGTTCAAATGCACAAAAATAAATCTACAGTAAGAATAGAATAGTTGAAAGCAAAGTTAAAAAAACTTTTATTATACTTTTTTTTAAAAAATCTTTCTAATTTCATAAACAGGACAAGAAATGAAAGGGGCATTTTGAAGGGGAGAGATAATTTTTATACATACCGTTCTATCAGGCAACTTCAAGATGTGTGGGTTTTAAGCATGGCTGGCTGAGGAATTCTGAGAGATGAAGTCCACACATCTTAAAAGTTGCTATGGTTGTACTATGCATACACAAACACACTCATAAATACACACACACACACTAATCTGCATGTGCAACAGGGAAAGGGCACAGGAGTTCATGTGTTTTTTTTCCATAATAGACTGTGACTACATTCACTTCTAAAATAGAAAGTATGGCTGCTCGGCTTTAAAACTTATTGTTAACAACCTGTTTGAGCAGTTCGCACCTGTGCTACTGTATCCTTGGTATTAAATGTCAGTTCTTCTAGAAAGGCATACATTTATATTCTTCTGGTTTACATCTGCAAAACACTCCAAATTCACAGTCTATATATCAGTATTCTCCACCTTATAAATGAAGGTGAACATACATGTCCCAGGATAATGTTGCAGGATCCAATCTGGGTCGGTCACCAGGACCAGAAGAAGTTTAGTCTTCCGATCTTTTGGACTCTTGCTGGAGCCCATCCTGAGGGAAACTCTCTCCCATCAGTGAAATTCTGGTGAGAGAGAAGTTCCCTGAAAATGGGCTCTTGCACGAGTCCAAAAGCTCAGAAGACTAAACTTCTTCTGGTCCCCGGTGATTGGATCCTTCTCCATGTTGTTTTTAGAACTGTGTTGAACATCAATTTTTAACCCCTTCAGTTGGCCAGAGATGACAAAAATTGATGGTCAGCACATCTGGAGATGAGGATAAACAGACATGAATTAAGATGAAAAGTGGAATCATTAGTATATTCGTGTATGCACCTGACAGGAAGACAGTCTTTATATTGTACAGGGAAATGTGTTATGAAGATGCAATCCAACATCTCGGGTTCCTTCTGAAACAATTAAAACATGCCATTTGTAATCTGTTGTTGTTGCACCTGCTGCTGCTGTGAAGTTGTTCAGGCACTTCTGATTCTTTGTGACACAATAGACCACATTTTGCCAGGATTATCTGTCAATTATTGCTTATTTAGATTCTTTAAATCTCATGCTTGTGCAATCAGTATTAATATCTAGTCATCTGCTCTTCTCTGGGCCTATTTTTTTATATTACCTCCTAGACTGGGGTCTTTTCCATTAACTCTTGCTTTTATTTTATTTTATTATTTTATTTATTTTATTTTATTTTATTATTTTATTTGCTTTACTTTACTGTACTTTACTTTACTTTATTTATTTTTTGCATTATATACATAAAAAAATCTAAGCTTTAGTTTCATTGTTAGTGCTTCTAGTGACCAGCCTGGTTTACTTCACCTACTATTGAATTGTTGGATCTTCTTGCAGTCTTGGGTATTGTCAAAATTTTTCTCCAGTACTACAATTCAAAGGTATTGCTTTTTCTTCATTCAGCCTTTCTGATGGTCCAGCTTTCACAGTTCTATGTTTCCACGAAAAAATAATAGCACTGACAATACATTATTTATTGTACTGTCAGCATGATGTCTCTGCACTACACAGATAGGGCTTGACTTACAACCATTCTTTAATGATTGTTCAAAGTTACAACGACACTGGAAAAAGTGATTTATGGTAGGGGTCCCTAACCTTTTGGGCCCCAGGGACCGGTTCCGTGGAGAAAAGTTTTTCCACGGACCGGAGAGTGCGTGGGTTTATGTGCTGCCTGTATCCCATAGATGGGGCTTTGCTTGTTTGTGCGGACTAGTTGCTGGCATGCCGCGGCCCAGGAGTTGGACCGGGGGTTGGGGACCCCTAATTTATGGCTATTTTTCATTTATGACTGTTGCAGCATCTCCATGATCAACATTCAAATGCTTGGCAACCAAGTCATATTTATGATGGTTGCAGTGTCCGGGGATTATATGATCAACTTTTGCAACCTTCTGACAAGCAAAGTCAATGGGGAAGCCAGATT